TCCGACGTGTGATCCAATTCAACAGCCAGGACAGTGTCTGCCATGGAGTCATCTTGTTGTGTCTCAAATAATAATAATAATAATAATAATAATAATAATAATAATAATAATAATAATAATAATAATAATAATAATAATAATAATTAATAGAGGTGTGCAAATAAAGTGTCCGATGTGTGATCCAATTCAACAGCCAGCACAGTGTCTGCTGCGGACTCATCTTGTTGTGTTTCTAATAATAATAATAATAATAATAATAATAATAATAGGATAATAACTAATAATAATTATATACCTATAATAACAATAATAACAATATTAAAGTGTCCGATGTGTGATCCAATTCAACAGCCAGCACAGTGTCTGCTGCGGACTCATCTTGTTGTGTTTCTAATAATAATAATAATAATAATAATAATAGCATAATAACTAATAATAATTATATACCTATAATAACAATACTGATTAATAATAATAGTATAACTAATAATTATTAATTGATCATAACATTATTCATAATATAATAATAATAGCATTACAAATAATAATTATATACCTATAATAACAATATTAAACTGATTAATAATAATAGTGTAACTAATAATTATAACTCGATCATAACAATATTAATACTAATAATAATAGCATAATAATAATAATAATAATAGCATAACTAATAAAAATTATATACCTATAACAATATTACTGCTGATTAATAAAAATAATAATAGTATAACTAATAATTATAAATTGATCAAAACAATATTAATACTACTACTAATAATAATATTATAATAATAGCATAACTAATAATAATTATATACCTATAATAACAATATTAATACTAATTAATAATAATAGTATAACTAATAATTATAAATTGATCATAACAAAATTAATACTAATAAATAGGTAAAGGTCAAGGTTTTCCCCTGACATGAAGCCCAGTCGTGTCTGACTCTGGGACTCGGTTGCTCATCTCAATTTCTAAGGCGAAGAGCCGGCGTTGTCCTTAGACACCTCCAAGGTAATGTGGCCAGCATGACTGCGTGGAGCGCCGTTAATGATATACTAACTTAAATAATCGTATAATAACTAATAATAATTACATATTAATAATAATAAAAATATAATTAATAATTATTATATAATTTATTTATTTGTTTATTTCGGTTGCTTCTACCCCGCCCTTCTCACCCCGAAGGGGACTCAGGGCGGCTTACAAAGGCACAATTCGATGCCAGCATCACATCACAGTAGTAACACAAAATAACAACAATTACACAGTTGAACAGTTAAACAACAATTCCTGCATTACAGCCCTAAAACCAATAAAACCAATAAAACGATACAAACCCAATTACTCCTCATAGACGATCAGCGTTCGCTATCTCATAGTCCAAATTCCAATTCCACATTGTCAGTCCTGTCAGTCCTAATCGTCTGCTTGTCCTTATCTAGTTGTCAGGTTGCCCAAACGCCTGGTCCCACAACCACATCTTTACCTTCCTCCTGAAGGAGAGGAGGGATGTTGATGCCCTAATTTCCCCCGAGAGTGAATTCCACAGGTGAGGGGCCACCACTGAGAAGGCCCTGCTCCTCATCCCCACCAACCTCACTTGTGATAGAGGCGGTGTCGAGAGCAGGGCCCCTTTCCCAGAGGATCTCAGACTCTGAGATGGGACGTAAAGGGAGATGCGTTCGGACAGATACGCTGGGCCGGAATGGTATAGGGTTTTGTAGGTCAAAACCAGCACTTTGAATTGTGCTCAGAACTTGATTGGCAGCCAGTGGAGCTGACACAGCAGGGGGGTGGTATGCTCCCTGTATGGCGCTCCGGTGAGCAGCCTGGCTGCCACCCGCTGGACCAGTTGAAATTTCCGAACAGTCTTCAAGGAGAACCCCACATAGAGTGCGTTGCAGTAGTCTATACAGGATGTAACAAGAGCATGGACCACCGTGGCCAGATCAGACTTCCCAAGGTACGGGCGCAACTGGTGCACAAGTTTTAATTGTGCAAAAGCTCTCCCGGCCACCACTGAGACCTGGGCTTCCAGGCTCAGCGATGAGTCCAAGATCACTCCAAGCTGCGAACCTGCGTCTTCAGGGGGAGTTTG